TTTATAGGCAACATCCTTATACCCACCTTATAGACCGGCTTCGTGAATGAGGCCTACTAACGGCAAAACGACTTGTTCTTATGCATATATATAATTAACCATTAATGTTATAAATAGTATAAGTGGTGAATTTTAACTATTAAAACTCTAAGGGTTGGAATTAAAGTTTATTAAAGTGTGTGAAACTTTACAAATTCCAAAACTGGAGGGCAAGTTTTGTAACTATGCAAAACTTTTCATTTCATAACTTATGAATTAAAGGTTCATAAAAATGAAGACTCTTTATTTTCATGTAACTTATGTGTTTTAAGTGTGTGTTAAATAAAAGTGACCTTTGGAAATTCATAACTTGAGGACAAATTATGGACTGCATTAAAACACATAAATGATCAAGAATTAATTCTAAACAATTCAGCAAATAATTCCTATCATTTTCTAAATTCATAAGAACATGAACATGATCATCAAAATTTCAATAATTATATGAACACAAAAAATCATGGAATTTTGATATCTGCTATTGTAAATGGATTAGAACAACCATTACACCAACTAAAACAAGTTTTAAAATACCAAAACAGTTTAGGGTAATGTTTCTAGTCCATTTCCAGTAGCAAAAGTCGAAATTCTGCATTCTGTTCATTCTACTCACCGAGTGCACGAACCAACTCGGCGAGTAGGATGAATTTTGTCTTGTACTCGGCGAGTCCCCCCATGGACTCGGCGAGTCCAATCGTCAGACAACAACAATTTCAACCCTTTTCACTATTTTGCATCAAGTATCAATGAAGCAAGCAGCAAGCCTAGTCTTTGATACCACTGTTGGGTTTTGAGCAATCTAACACTTCCTAAGTGTGCATGTAACCCTAATAAACCTTGGATCTATGTTTGTCTAAATACATGCAAAATAATAATTTTTCCAAGGTTCATAACCTATCTAACATGCCATGGGGTACTTTTAAACATAAAAGAGTTAGAAGAGATTACATACCTTTTGATGGGATTGATTCTTTGGAGTTTGAGGGCCAAGCACCAATAATGTGAATGCCTCAAATGGAATCACAAATCACCACAAACACTTGGAAAACTTTGAGAGAGTATACACACTCTTGTATTTTCGGCCACACACAAGCACACACACTAATTCACTAGTTCCATTTCATGCTCCATAAGCATGCTTATATAGTGTGCATGGTTAGGGTGAAACCCTAATAACCCATGTCTTTTCCTTTGCAAGGATCCATGGTTTGAAAGCTCCATGGATCATCCATGGACTTCCATATAAGCCTAGCCCATTAACAAATGAGAATTAGCCCACACTATATAAGACCAATAGCCCATAATCTAATTAGTCTTCCTTTTAATCTCTAAATTAATTCATAATTAATTTAAGACTAAAACTAATTAAATATCATAACTTCATATTAATATATTATAACTTATAATATATTAATAAACATATGTGTATAACTCTCATAAAATTATCCATAAATAGTTCGGATGAAATGCAACCCAAATGGACCATGCCGGGTCGGGTCAAGTATATACCAAATAAGTTATGGACTTAGACACCTTATCCAACATGAGTGTCACCAAGTATGTTGCAAGTTTTACAGAGATGATGAAGCTCGTTCCTTATCTAGTTCCAACTAAGCTCTCCAAGGCCAACAAGTTTGCCTACGGATTACCAGCGGACTTTGGTCCAATGATGAAGCAAGCAACCACTTTGAAAGCCGCCATCTGGGCTTCTAAGAATGTGGAGACCCAGATAAGAGAGAAGGTTCTAGAGAGAGCTGATGTTGGTGAGAAAAGGAAGCATGAAGGATCTTCAAGGTCCAACAAGGAGAGAAAATTTCTGAAGTCTGGAGGAGGAGGAGGTGAAGCAAGATGGTGTGAGAAGAGCAAAAATAATCACTTCAGAAGATGCGATGGAGAAGTGATGTACTATAAGTGTGATAGGAACAGTCACTATTCCAGAGATTGTACATTCGACAACAAGAAGTGCTATGAATGTGGAAATGATGGGCATATTTCGAAGAACTATGCAAAGAAGAATGAAGCTGCAACGAAAAATGCGCCGCTAAAGCGAAAGCAAGAGCATTCCAAATGATCCTTGATGAAGTAGATGGCAATGCAAGGAATCAGGAGTGAGGATGGATGTCCGAGGATCAAGTTATGAAGAAGACATGCTGATAGTATCAGGTAGTGTAGCCTATTTGAGGCATAGTATAGGTTGAAATTGAACACATATGTAATCGTTTCAAGGAATAATATAAAACCTCCTTTTTGCTATCTGATGTGTTAAATTGTTTTGTGATTTTAGGACTTGGGGATTGCGAGACAATACTTGGGATATGTATGAGTAGCTGTGAAAGGTACTAGATGCATATACTACTGGAAGCACAATACTCACGCTTGGATCAGGGAAAGTCACAAGGTTACCAAGAAGCTAGTAATTCATTCCGTTTTATTCAAGTATGTCATTACCATCATTTCGGTAATGACTAAGAAGATGATTGTTATTCTGACCCTAGTGTTCATATCGAATTAAGTCTGACTACGATGAGTACGTTACGTGGTTTAGAGAATTCGACTCATTGTTAAGGATATTGGTAGCTAGAAATGCTACATGTTAAAATGTGATTCTATCACATTCAAACATGAATGAAAAGTATATTCCTTTCCAGAATTCGACTCTAAGAGACCTGAGTCTAAGCGTTGCTACATACGATGAGAGGTCATTAGAACATAACCCATCAGTCTATTATGGAAATCAAATAGTTTGTTAAGAAGAAGAAGGAGTCTCTAGCAAGGATTGAGATTGTGACTTGAAGGTTATAATTTGGAGTCTAACGTGAGATAGGGAGCATGTAACATCCCAAAAATACAGGCCAAAAATTTCATTTTTAATTACGTCATTTTAAAACCAACAGTGTAATAAAACATCTGTAATATTATGTCATGTCAAAACCAAAGTAGAAATAATAAAACATGTTATCATAAAACAATATTAGAGTGTAATCCCAAGATCTCATGTGCGGAAAACCATAGTGTGATGCGCTGCGATCAAGCCGGCTCCTTTCCATTGAAAACGAGTACCTGAAACCAAAACTGTAAACCGTAAGCACAAAGCTTAGTGAGTTTCCCCATCATACCACATACCATACAGTCACATAGCATACATACTGACGGGAAATTCTGGGGTGCCCGACCTACCCGGTACGGCCATTATGGGGTGCCGACTACCCGTGCGGCCATTCTGGGGTGCCGTCCTACCCGTGTCAAGCTATTCTGGGGCGCTGACGACCCATGTCGAGCTATTCTGGGGTGCTGACTACCCTTCGGTCCTAACAACCGAACCTCGGGGACTCTTTCACCCCTACCACTACCATCACATATATCATAACACAAATATAATATCAGACATATCTGGGGTGTCTGACTACCCTTCGGTCCTAACAACCGAACTCTACTAGTATCACATACAACATATCATGCTAGCATATAACATATCAAGTAGTAGCAAACCTAGATGATATCACAAAGACAATCATCTATCATACATCTCCTACCGGTGGGCCGACATTGTGGCCTTAGACCCACTGCTACTGGAAGGCAACTCACCTCACACTGCTGAAGTCCCGTAGACATAACCCCACATTGTTGAAGTCCCGCAGACTCAACCCCAACTGCTGGATGATAGATTCCCGAACTGTCAACACCAAAACAACACCTAATTAATAATTGGGTCCCAACACATAACAATCAATACATACTTGGATAATTACTACATTACCCTAAGATTGGCTTTATTCAAGCCTAAGGCCCAAACCAGGCCCAAAGCGAACTAGGAATCAAAACCCAGCATGTGGCCCAATTTTCCAAATTGGGCCCAGGCCTATATGTGGTCTTATGACCCAACATAATACAATCATTAAGGCCCAACTATGGTCCATCTATGGCCGAATTTTCCAGATTGGGCCCAACCCCTAACATGGGACTTACCCTAGGCCCATTAAATTATTTTAGCCCATATAATTATTCTTGGATGGCCCATTCATAATCCAATCATTAAGGCCCAATAGAAAGGCCTAACAATAAACCCGAGTGAAATTAGGCTTTCACATAAAATGATGATTAGGGTTAAGTTTCCTACTTAACCCATTAAGGACTTAATCCATTAAGGACTTAATCCATTAAGTCCAATATTGCTTAGATTAATCTTTACCAATGATTATTATTTAATATCTGAAGTTATTAAATAATTCTTGTGTGTCTGACGCCATTAATTCTTAAAGTTAAGTTTTCATTGGCATTAGGGTGTTCCAATCCAAATATTAGCCAATTTATCATTTTGTTGGTCGTTAAGGTCATTTAGGGCTTTATTGGGCCTATTAAGGTCTCTTTGAATCAATTAGGGTCCATTAGACCCATTAGGGTTTCCTTAAGCCCATTGATCACATGTTTGGGCTTTTATGTCCATTAAGCCTCACTGGGCCCATTAGGGTTTTAGTCCCTTGTCCAAACATCCCAAACCAGCAATCTTAACACAACTAAGCACACCGCCACCCGACATGGCAGCCGGTGGCAGCAGGAGGCGGCAGCCACCACCATACGGTGGTGGTTTGATTATCCCTTTTCATTATTTCGCCACTATTACAGTTACAATACAAAATCTCAAAATAACACACACTCAAACTAATACTAACACATACACACAACCACCTAATGGTGGCCGGTGGCAGTGCATGGCGGTACCACCATGGCCGGCGACCATGGTGGTTATCTTCATAGTTTTCGGCTAACCAACATCCACACAACACCCACTCAACTGCAGCAATAAACCACACACACCAAAACATGCACAACCACCTTCTCCGGTGGCTAGCAGCGACGGACTAGGGTAACGACCCCTATGCATTTTGCTCAGACGTCGAAAGCAGCCACCCACATGGTGGTATTCAACGAACGAAAAAGACCCACGAAGGTGGCAGTAGCGGCTAATGATCGAACAAAAGCGGAAACCACGCTCCAGCTCTCTGGCGGTAGCAGCAGCAAGGTAACAATGGTAGTTGGCGGCTCGTAGCCTTGTCATCGACTAATGTTGCGGTTCCACCGACGGCGGCAACAGTCGGTCCATGCGGCGGTTGAAGAAGGAGAAGAAGAATGAGAACGGTGGAGGCAGTTGATCGATTCTTTAGCGTGCGTCGGGTTCGTCGGCACTCTTCGGGGAAACATCTTCGGTCTCGGTGGCCCTCCAAGCCACTCACAGCGTCATCGGAAGCAATGGTCTCGATGGTCTTTGGTTGATCGGAACAGGAAGAGCCGATGGGAGTGGCGGCTACGTAAGGAAGGTAGCGGTTGGGTTCTTGTGTTAGGGTTAGGGTTCTCATGGAGAAATAAGGGGACGGGTTTATAATCACGTAACCAATACAACTACTTTCATTTTTACGAGTTCAGCCCCTCCTCCCCCAAGACTTTTCAATTTAAATCCAAAACTTACCTTTTTAACCCAATCCATGGAAATCCCATACAAATTAAGTCCCATAAACTATCCAACAGCCCCTAATATCTTAATTAGGACATAATCAGCCCTTCCACCTCATTTCCTTTTAAATTAAATTCAAATAATTACCACGGATCCCCTGCCTTCATAAATAATTATAAACTAAGTCCGAAAATTACACTTTTAACCCTCAACTTCCAAATTATGCAAATTAACTCCTCGAAACCAACACCCTGCATATAATTATTGGTATTGGGGCTACTATACATTCATCAATTTATTTATTTATTTAATAAATAAACTGGGTGTTACAACTCTCCCTCACTTAAATTAGATTTCGTCCTCGAAATCATTTCTTACCATTCCTTACACACCCAACCACTTCTAATAACACGGTCACCATCTTGGGCACACCTTAGCTTCCCCAGGTTAGCCATGACCAACCGCGTAAAGCCCTAAAATCTGCAAGCGAACTAATTCCTCGCAACAAGATCTCATCTACTCATCTAAATTTTTTTGTCTCGAGGTGGCCTGGATCCTTGACAGACCACTCTTATTGAATCATTATCGCAGAATCCATTCTCTTATCCCTCAATTATCTACACAACATTTGATAGTTCGAGGTTTCCACCATAAATCATGATCGCAGACCCAATTATCCTTGCGGACCGCTAATACTTAGCCAAGGCTCGGATACTTTCGCTGTGAGTGACTTGTCACTCCTCAAATCATCTAGCTATTCCGTCCATACTCACAACCTGAAACACATATGCTAACACTACCCAATGCTAAAAATGCTTGAACACTGAACTGCCGGAAGCAGTATGCTGCTACATAGCTACTTCCCATGATCTATCGGGGCCTTCTTGATCTCAATTCATCTGTTAGTCATCTAAATTTATCAGGTTCCATCCCGATCGCCGAGCTAAAAGGGCTCCCCACATAATCGTCTCACACAACTCCTGAACAAAATCCTTCTCGGGAACTAGTTGCCATTAGTTATCATGCCACTGCGACTCTAACAACTTTCTGATCTAACTGATCGGATCCATACCTCAAATCCTGTCATCATCAAATCCAAGGCTAGAAGTGGTTGCTACCTGACCAATGGTAGCCTTATCTCACACATAATCTTATACAGTCCATTGCTTTCCTGATCCCATAACTGTAGTGGCGCTCCTACAGTCCTATCACTGGCTCTACTAGATCTAATCCATCTGGGTAATTCCGAAATCCAATCCGTGGATTTCCTTATCCTTACTGCTACACCCGAACTAGTGGGTACTACTGTTACTTCTGCGTCCTAACAACACGCTCACACTATCTACTAACCTAGTGAATGTTGCGGCTACACTCGCAGCCTCACAACACTCTATTACTATCTGACCGCTAGTGAATGCTACAACTACACCCGCAGTCTTACAACAATTCCCATAATATCTGATCGCTAATGAATGCTACGTCTACCCACGTAGTCTTACAACACTTTCCATACTATCTGACTGCTAGTGAATGCTACGACTACCCCCGTAGTCTTACAACACTTTCCAAACCGGGTCGAACACGCACTCAACCTAACATATCACTGAACTTGAGTCCTAACTGGAACTCTAACCTAGTTCCTGAAACCTGCTATCACCTGACCCCATTGTATCAGTACCACACCCATGATCGTGATCAAAGCGTCACAATAAACCATGAAATCATCTACATCCTCTTGCAGGGTGAGAATCAGTTTTGCGTACAACTACTGTCTGAGAGTATCGAAGGTTGCCTGCTTCTCAAACCCTCAATGAAAGGCCACCGACTTCTTGGTCAGTCGGGTCAAAGGAACCGCAATCTCGGAGAAGTCCCATGTAAATCTCCAGTAGTAACCTGCTAGACCCAGCGGACTCCGAATATCAGATGGAGACCTCGGAATCTCCCACTGCATCACGACCTGTATCTTGGCCGGATCAACTAGAATACCCTTCTGGTTGACAAGGTGGCCAAGAGATTGCACGCCGCGCAACTAGAACTCACATTTGGAGAACTTTATAAAAAGTCTCTCCCCCACTTAGATTCGACTAAGTATTTACTGCACACAAGAATTGAAGGATTTCCTATCCTTCTCGCTTCCTAGTATCCCCTTGATGACAACCTGTACTTACCAGTGCTAGCGATCCATCACCAATCAAATCTTAAGATCGCCCATCCTCTGAAATCTTGAGGAGTACTCTTGAAATCTGGTCCAATCTAACGCCTCAATCCATATCCCATGCTATCAATTGAAGACCTTAATCTTCGCTCTGGCTGACGAATCCTTATCCCCACTTCCAATCTCGCATCACCACTGAACTCTAACCGAACATAGCCCATCCGAGAATACAATTATCTTGATCATGCGATGACCAACCAGTTATGCATCTAATACCCGTGACTGACACTACCCTTTTCATGTCACCTGCTCTGTCCTAGCAATGGTAGTGCCTTGAACTCCAAGGTTCATCCATAGACAATTACCGACCATACCTGAACAATGATAGAATCCCTGAACACTGACTTCCTTGGAGAACAATTACTCTAACGCTGATCGAGTATTCTCTAAATAATACTCCTACATAGGTCCCGACAAAGACCCGAAATGATAACGGTATACATGAAACCCACTCTACAAGATGCATCCCTTTTTAGGTTCATCAAGGACCTTTCGGCATGCAGGTTGGCATATATGATCCTTGGTAACCCAAACACTAGCAGAAAAACTAACCCGATATCTAACTTATCCTAACTTACTCATAACTCCAATGCGATACGTATCCCCACCATCCATCTAATATCAATAGAAGATGACATACCCGCAACACCTGTAGGAATACTAATCACCTTCTGCTGACATGACCAACCCCGCTACCCTGAAGTAGCCTAAACCCTCAAAGCGACAAACTTCCTGGTGCAGTGTCATGTACGTGCTGCACCGACTTCGACCTTGTTGTCCTTTCACCTGATGATCATAAATCATGGGTCTCTTCCCGAGACCCCTACTATATGCACCTAGCACGAACCTCTCTTCTCAAAGTGCTCCAAATTGATCATGCATCTGCAACTTCATGGAAATCATATCCCTCGGGGTCTGACACCCTACCACGTTCACGAAATCACTTGCCAATGGGTAAGCTGTAGTAACTAGAATATCCTCTGTCCCCAAACTAGGTCACAAACTCTTCCCTGAATCTTCTTAGATTCTCTAAGACTTTCACTGATTCGAGTATGGATCCTATGCTTTCAGTAGTATGGGCCCAATACTACCTTCCACACCTATCCATACTTTCCTCAGCAATCCTCCCGGATCCTCCAAGTCACTTCCACAACTGGTACACCCAAGTCTAACTGAGCCTCACTACTAACTCATTGAAATTTATCCTAGGCTTCCTTAGGTTCCCGAACTCACCTAGTCCTCAGCTGCTGAAAGATTCCCAGTAATGTCAACTAGCTACCTCATGAATATAGTCACATGCAATAGAGATCAGATAATCCTTTATGTAACTGACTCATCCCTATAACGGTTAGACTCAAACGAGAGCTGCACAATAGGGTCAAATCTATCACTCTGAGATTATCCAGCCTGTGCCACATGTGACTTCGCATATTTACTTAATAACTAACTCACATTACTAAGAGTCCCACAAAGCACAAAGCAAGCAACATTCAGACAATGGAAAATCTAACCATCATATTCTAATCAAATCATTTTATCCTCTAATCAGGAATCTGTACATGTAATTAAAGGGCTCATACAATCAGGCATAACCTAAACAGGCTATCCCATCACCGACTAATCAATACTAGCATGCAAGTCTACAAGCACAAATAATAGGCATATAAGGCATCCTCCTAGATCCTTAGCCATAATCTAGCATGCAGTTCTCATAATCATATCATATCATAACATCTCATGTATGGGTATCTTGGGAAAACTTACTTGAGCTCGACTGATTGCATACATCACACACTTTGTTCTTCTTAAAGTTCCTTTCTCTTTTCAGATTCTTTTCAAACTCCTTTTTATAAAATGGTTTTACTTTTGAAAATTTTCATACAAAGCCCTTAGTTTGAGTTCAGACACACCCGAGAGCATATCCCAATCCCTCAAACCAAGGCTTTGATACCAACTTGTAACATCCCAAATATACAGGCCAAAAATTTCATTTTTAATTACATCATTTTAAAACCAACAGTGTAATAAAACATCCGTAATATTATGTCATGTCAAAACCAAAGTAGAAATAATCAAACATGTTATCATAAAACAATATCAGAGTGTAATCCCAAGATCTCATGTGCGGAAAACCATAGTGTGATGTGCTGCGATCAAGCCGGCTCCTTTCCTTTGAAAATGAGTACCTGAAACCAAAACTATAAACCGTAAGCACAAAGCTTAGTGAGTTCCCCCATCATACCACATACCATACAATCACATAGCATACATACTGCCGGGCAATTCTGGGGTGGCCGACCTACCCGGTACGGCCATTTTGGGGTGTCGACTACCCGTGCGGCCATTCTGGGGTGCCGTCCTACTCGTGTCAAGCCATTCTGGGCCGCTAACTGACCCATGTCGAGCTATTATGGGGTGCTAACTACCCTTCAGTCCTAACAACCGAACCTCGGGAACTATTTCACCCCCTACTACTACCATCACATATATCATAACACAAACATAATATCAGACATATCTGGGGTGTCTGACTACCCTTCGGTCCAAACAACCGAACTCTACTAGTATCACATACTGCTAGCATATAACATATCAAGTAGTAGCAAACCTAGATGATATCACAAAGACAATCATCTATCATACATTTCCTGCTAGTGGGCCGACATTGTGGCCTTAGACCCACCGCTACT